ACTGTTGGCATAAGAGTTGTGAGCCCGGAACCTTCCCCTAGTGTGGCAGGTAGGTGCCTTGGAGCCCACGACCAATGTCACAAAGTTGTGCTCTGTACACATGATACATCGCACTCATGTGCACACACACACACAGACACACACACACACACACACACACGCACACTAAAACAAAACAACGCAAAAATCCTCTCCAACTCTGCCTCACACTGGCTTGATCTGAAGTTTTTGTTTTCGTTTGTTCGAATTTTCCTTTATTCAAAAGCCAAGAATTCTGGGTTTTCCTTATTTACTTTTGAGATGGGGTCTCACCACGTAGCCCTTGTTGACTTGGCGCTCGGAGGTCTAGCTGCCTGTCCATCCTGAGTGCTGGCACCAAAGGCAAATGCCATAGCCTGCTTGAATCTTGACTTTTTGTATTTTTAATCATATGATATGTTTGAGGGGATTGGTTCCAAGAGAAACTTGGAACAAATGTCTGTCTGTGGTGCCTATTAGCATACCAAAGCACAAACTGGCCTCCAGGCTCATTTGGTATCACAAATACCTGTGGTTTGTGCTAGAGTATTGGCTCCGTGGTGAAGACCATGTTCCTCTCTTCCGGAGAATCCAAGTACAATTCCCTGTACCCACATCAGGTGGCTCACAACCACCTATAACTCTGACTCCCAGGAGATTGGGGCTCCTCTGATCTCTGTTGGTACATGCACTCTTGTTGTTGGTACATGCACTCTTGTTGTTGGTACATGCACTCTTGTTGTTGGTACATGCACTCTTGTGTACTCATGCACAGACATAAACACATCACTTCAAATAATAAGAATAAGCCAGGCATGGTGGCACATGCCTTTAATCCTAGCACTCAGAATGCAGAGGCAGGAGGATCTCTGGGAGTTCAAGGCTAGCCTGGTCTACAGAGTATATTCCAGGATAGTCAGGGCTACATGGAGAGACCCTGTCTTGAAACAGCAAAATAATAATAATAATAATAATACATATTTAAAAAAAAAACAAAACAAACAGCCATGATCTCGCTCTTCTCGCCCCGCTCCTGCCTTAAACTTCTTTTTTTTTTTTAAGATTTTATTTATTATGTATACAGTATTCTGTCTGAATGTATGCCTGCAGGCTGGAAGAGGGCACCAGATCTCATTACAGATGGTTGTGAGCCACCATGTGGTTGCTGGGAATTGAACTCAGGACCTTTGGAAGAGCAGGCAGTGCTCTTAACCACTGAGCCATCTCTCCAGCCCCCTGCCTTAAACTTCTTGAGCCCGCAGTCTGCCCCCTGCTCTCATTCCGTCATCATCATCCTTAACCATGTGCACTCTTCTTGTCTTGCTCTCTTGGTCTCCTTTGCCCACCCTCTCTGTCTTTCTCTCTCCTCCTCTGCCTCTCCTCTCGGGACCAGGTCCAGTCTGCTACTACGTTCAGTTTACTATTCTCCCTGCTCTGGAGTCTTCTAGATGCCTCTGGCTGTTCTTGCCCTCACATCTAAAACACACACCTTCTGCTCAACTGTACCTTGGGCCGGTCACGGTCTTCGTTTTTATCTGGTTTGTACAGGGGGTGTGCGCGTGAATGTGAAGCCGGTGGAAGCCAGAAGAGAGTGTCAGATCTGCTGGAGCTGGACTGTCTGGCGCTGTGCACCATCCTCCAATGTGGGGGCTGGACGCAAATTCAGGTCCTTTGCGAGAATGGAGCAGCCTGGTCTACAGAGCGAGTTCCAGGACAGTGAGGGCTGCACAGAGAAACCCTGTCTCAGAAAAATAAATAAAATAAAATAAAAATAAAGTGCTGTTTGGTAGAGGGTTTGAGGACCTTCTATCCCTCACATGATTTTTCCCTAGGCAGCTCTATCCTCCGGTAAGATGGGGTTTTCACAATACCATGCCATTGAAAATAAATCATGATTGGTCCAAATCAGTCTTGGTTGCCTCTTGTTCCTTGCCTATTTGAGGCGGCCGTGTGACCTATGTGGAACCCAGAGACCCAAGCGTGAATTCCCAGGCTCCTGAGACTAGACTCTTTTCACTTTCTACTTTCGCTTTGAGACCTTGTTCTCCGTAAGGACATCCCCCTTGCCTCAGTCCTCTTGACTGAAAGGAAACCAAAAAAATTACAGCTGTCAGTTGGTGGCCTTGGATATTTTTTATTACATCTTTATTTACTTATTTTGCATACGTGTGTGTGTGTGTGTGTGTGTGTGTGTGTGTGTGTGTGTGTGTGTGGTGGTTGGCACATCCGGTTCAAGAATAGCTTTCCAGAGGCTGTTTCCTCCTTCCACACTGTGGGTCCCGTTTCAAAGACCTGGCTCTGGATTTTCTTGAGGGGTCCTGTCTCAAAGACCTGGCTCTGGATTTTCTTGAGCGTGCAGTGTTATGGAGATCTCAGGAATCCTTAGGGCGCTGTGGGAAACACAAGCGTCCTTGAGTTTTCTCCTGGAAGAAGCCCCAGGCGTTTCTAATTCTCATATCACTTAAGAACCGGTTGATAGCCAGGTGGTGGTGGTGCAGGCCTTTAATCCCAGCACTCGGGAGGCAGAGGCAGACTGGTCTCTGTGAGCCTGAGGCCAACCTGATCTACAAGAGCTAGTTCCAGGACAGGCACCAAAGCTACAGAGAAACTGTCTTTAAAAAAAAAAAGCCATTGAAATGTCATTTTCTCAAGGAGACATCCTTGAAGCCCTCAGATCAGACCGTCATAGAGTCCCCTTAGCTTTGCCTCAAGCTCCCCTCTCCATCACTTTGATGATTTGCTGAGTGTTGTCTTTGTCTCTGGGCCCAGGAGGACAGAGCGCTGCAAGATTAATCTGCCTTCCAGAGAGAAAGCGTTCATCCACTTAGAGGTTAGTAAAGGAAGAAACTACTGCATCCAGCTCTGGCTGATGCTCAAAGAGGAGCTGGCCAGGAAGGGAAGATTTCACTAACACACACACACACACACACACACACACACACACACACACACCACAGGCTCTTCCATTCCGTATATGCTGTCATCCTTAAAGTTCTCTCTGGTCCCCGCCCCAGGTTACACTTTGAATAATTTAAACAGAAACTGCAAGTCTGGCCACTGGAGCAGTGGAAGATATTTACCCGGCAAAGATATCGCCTTAATTTATGTGCATTGGTGTTTTGCCTGCACTCATGTCTGTGTGAGGGTCTTGGATCCTCTGGAACTGGAGTTACAGGCAGTTGTGAGCTGCCATGTGAGTGCCAGGAATTGAGCCCAGGTCCTCTCTTAGCCACTGAGCCGTCTCTCCAGCCCCAGAATTATTTCTTAGGTCCACCAATGCTGTTCTTTTTGAGTAGTTGCTTCACAGGTCCATTGTGCCCACCTGTAGAATTAAACGCTTTCCTATTAAGAGAGAAGAGGACTTGACGGCGTCCAGGACTTGCTATGGTTGTGACCGGGAACTGCGGGGAAGACGCATGTTCTGTGATTTGGGAATGGGCTAATGGCCAGTTAAGTCAGGTTTGTCCTGTGGAATGGAGCCCTTTGGAGACCAGTCTTGGTGAAAAAACGTTAGCAGAGACTTTCTCAGCAGCCCTGAGCGTCAGTCACGGTCCAGATTTTCTCTAGTGTCTAGTCAGCCTGCACAGAGCGCTGCTTACCTCCACTCACCAGAAGCGGCCTACCTTGAGGAAATTCTACCCCAGGCAACTTGGCATTTCCTAAGCGCGTTTGTTGGCAAATCCTCATAGCGTCAGTTTTACTGCTTCAAGTGTCCCTGCATCAAGACTAGCGCAAACATCCTGGCACCGCCCCCAGCACAAGGCTCAAAAGACCGAAGTGGTCATGGTGGCGCACAGCTGCAACCCAGCGTTTGAGATGCAGAGGCAGGGAGATTATCAGTTCAAAGCTAGTCTGTGCTACAAACTGAAACCTTTCCAACATTTTTTCATGTTTATTGTTTATTTATTTGTTTGTTTGTTTGTTTAAAAGACAGGGTTTCTCTATGTAGCCTTGGCTGTCCTGGAGTTCACTATGTAGCCCAGGATGGCCTCGAACCCAGAGATCAGCCTGCCTCTGTTTGTTGAATGCTGGCATTAAAGGCGTGCGCCACCACTGCCCAGCTCCTTTCAAAAAATATTTTAAAATAAAATAAAAATAAAATCAAGTGTGTTGACACAAGGCGGTAATCCCAGCACTCAGTAAATGAAGGCAAGAAAGGTTGGGTAACTTAAAGCCAGCCTCATCTACGTAGTAACTTTGAAATTAGCCTGGGTCACAGAAGGACCCCCTCAACAAACAAACAAAAAAGCCGGTGGGAGGGAACAGAATAAAAACGCTGAGGTGGGAATTAAAAGTGTGTGCACTGTGCTTCTCCAACGACAGGAACACCTTTAAAGCTTCATTCGGAAGGGCCGCGAGACCGCTGGGTGTGTGCGCTCCGGCTCAAGGGAGAGTTGCCAAGCAGCATTACAGACGTCACCGGGCCTGGAAACCGTAAATGTGCATTGGCAGAAATCGGCAGAATTAGGAGACGTTTCCCCCACAGCACCCTGGATGTGGGAGAGAAACTGATTAGGTTAATCCAGAAATGAGGGCTTGTGAGCCGGCCGCTTTGCATTCTTAGACGAAGCATGGGGAAGCAAGTGCGGGTTTTTCCTTCCAGTGAATGAACCGGTTCAGAGTGGAGGCCCGTCCTTTCTCCAGACCGAACACTGCCTGGGTGTCAGCATCCGTCCTGCAAGCGTTTTCTCACCGCCTAGCTGCCCAGCAGTTAGGATTAGACAACAGCATAGGAGTCCACAAACTCCCGAGAACATAAGACAGTGTGAGCTGGCGCGCGCTCTTCTCTGCGGGGTCCGGACCGTGCGCCCGCTAACATGAGGTTAGACTCCCCGGGTCAGGGCTGGACTGATGGGCACAATCCGCTTGTCCCTAAGCGGGAGTGTGACACTGGTGGAGGGAAAGACGTCAGGCCCAGGGGCTTGGGCTGTGCCACCTTGAGGAAATTACTTGACTCCTTGGGGATTTTTCTTCTTTCGAGGGTTCTAACAGTCAAACCAGACGGGAATATGTAATTTGGAGGTTGTGCAAGGTCTGTGTGACTAACGTGGAGGAGCGAGAGTCAGGATCGGCGTTCACACACAAAGAAGTTTTTTTGTTTTGTTTTGTTTTGTTTTTAAGAGACAGGAGAAAAAGAGAGTCAAGGTCTTCTTGATTTGTGACCACACTCAGTTACCACTTATTTTTAGTTAATTAAAAATTCTTATTATTAGGGCTGGAGGGAAGGCTCAGAGGTTAAGAGCACTGGCTGCTCTTCCAAAGGTCTTGAGTTCAATTCCCAGCAACCGCAAGGTGACTCATGACAGTCAGTAACTGTAATTCCTTGGGACCCTACATATTCTTCCAGTAGGCAGACATACCTGCAGGCAAAAACAGCCATATACATAAAATATATAAATAAACATTTAAAAACTGCTGTTGTTGCTGGGTTTTGATCACTCTGAGCCTCATTTTCTCACCTTTAAAATGAGAGAGCTAAACCAAGGAGTGGTGGCTCACGCCTTTAATCCCAGCACTTGGGAGGCAGAGGCAGTCGGATCTCTGGGAGTTCGAGGCCACACTGGTCTATAGAGGGAGTTCAGGATAACCAGGGCTACACAGAGAAGCTCTGTCTCAGAAAAATAAATAAGTAAATAATAAAGGCTCCGTGTTGCCATGTTCTGCCCTGTTTTGCTTTGACCCAAAGTTGAAATCCCCTGTCCTCCAGCTGGGACTGCAGGCCTGACTCTATGACCAGCTAACGACTTTTAGATTTAGTTCATTTCTAAGGTTCTGGGGATCAAACCCAAGACATTGCACACGCTAGGCATCTATAGTTCAAGACGACGACTTTGACTTAGAATCTACACCACTTGTTTTGTGTAAGTCACAAGATCCAGCCATTCTCTGTCCTATGTGTTTACTGTGTGATCCTGGACAAATGACTCCTCACTCTGCGTCTCATTTTCCTCATCTTTAAAATGGGAATGAATAGCCAGGCATGGTCATCCATGGTTGTAATCGTGACCTCGGGAGGCTGAGCCAGTAGCGGGTCCACAGTCTACACAGTCTACACAGCAGTCACAGGTCCACAGTCTACACAGTCTACACAGTCTACACAGTCTACACAGTCTACACAGTCTACACAGTCCACACAGGCTACACAGCCAGGCTCCCATCTCCATGAGACAAATGAAAGGGTGATAATAATACTTCCTGATGGCTGTGGCGTTTCTCCGTGGGCTCTGGTGGCTGACTCACTCCCCAGATAGCAGCTCGGCTACTGCCAGTCACTCCCGCAGGCTAACTTTCCTTTAAGGAGTCAAGCCTTTCCACCAGGTTCCCACGCTTTCTGTCTTCTGGAAACTTCTCATCTTACAAAGCATCTTCTCACGGATGCGTCTCTCACCACAGCCCACAGGCTGAAGAGCTGAGCCGCAGAGAGGAAGTGATTAAACCTAGGCCTCTCCCTGTCCCCTTTCTCTTGGGACTGCCTGACTTTCCCACTCTGGGGGGACAAAGCCCTTGGGATCCTGAAATCAGGAGTCCTTGTTCTGCCCACACCATGGCTGCTGTCAGACACACCTGTTCTGGTCCAACACAGTCATCACTTACTGGTTTATTTATATTTTAAAGCTATTTTAATTTACATATAAGGATAGATTAAAGCTTATGCTATGACCACCTAACCTAAGCATAACCTTGAACTTTTTTTGTTGTTGTTTTTGTTTTGTTTTTGTTTTTCGAGACAGGGTTTCTCTATAGCTTTCTAGCCTGTCCTGGAACTAGCTCTTGTAGGCCAGGCTGGTCTCGAACTCACAAAGATCCTCCTGCCTCTGCCTCCCGAGTGCTGGGATTAAAGACGTGCGCCACCACCACCCGGCGAACTTTTGTTTTTGATATTTTTTTAAGAGTGCATTGGTGATACACACTTTTAATCACAGCACGCGGGAGGCAGAGGTAAGCAGATCTCTGTGAGTCCCAGACCAGCCGGGTCTACAGAGTGAGTTCCAAGACAGGCAGGGCTACACAGAGAAACTATCTTGAAACCGGTCCCCCCAAAAAGCTGTCTCCTCTTCCCTATAGTTCCCTGAACCCTAAGAGCAAAGGTTTGATGAAGACAGCCCTTTTAAGATTGATGGTTACTTTTTTGTTTGTTTTTGTCTTGCATTTCAAGACAAGGTTTCACTGTGTCGGTTTTGATGCTATTACTTCATATAGCCCAGGCTAGCCCCAAACTTGAGATTCTCTGGCCTCAGCCTTGGGTTTCAGGTGTGTGTTTTCTTTTCTTTCTTTTTCTTTCTCCCCCTCTCTGTGTCTGTCCCTCTCTCTAAACTATGAAACTGTAAGCTAATCAGGCATGGTGGGGTTTGTCTGTAATTTTATTCTTCGAGGGAGGATAGAGGCCTGGAGGTTCAGGAGTTCAAGGCCAGCCTTGGGGAAAGGAGACCCTGGTTAAAAACAAACAGGAAGCAGAGAGTCCTGACACACTTCAGGAGTCAGCGTGCCACCATGCCACCGTTCACGGGGACCATCCCATCTCTGTGTCTGTCATTCACTGTGGTTTGTTGTTGTTAGTTTTGTTTTGTTTCCCAGACAGGGTTTCTCTGTGTAGCCCTGGCTGTCCTGGAACTCACTCTGTAGACCAGGCTGGTCTCAAACTCACAGAGATCCACCCGCCTCTGCCTCCCAAGTTCTGGGATTAAAGTCTTGTGCCATCACCACCCTGCTTGGTTGTGATTTTAGTACATGGGCTTGCTATGGAGTTTATGACGCTTGGGAAAAGGTCATAGACTTAACCCAATTAATTGAACGATTTATTGATTAGTTGCTAGCAGGAGGAACAATCTCGGGACCAAATTTGAGATTGCCATGTAGAAGGTGTGTGGGGAAAAGCACACAAAGCCCTTTAATATCTGTGCTAGCTAGTGAAAACTGTTCTGTTCTGCCAAGTTAAGCAGTTAAAACAACTCCAAACAATCTTTGGGTATCTGTGAAAGCAAGTTACAGAAGCCAAAAAAAAAAAAATTAGTCATACCATAATCAGTAGATGGTCAGGACTGCAGGACTGTCTATTTTTGTTGGAAGTCACTGAGTTAGGGTTACTAGGGTCACAGACAAATAGGTGATGACGGGTATGCCTTTAATCCCAACACTAAGGGGGCAGAGGCAGGTGGATCTCTGTGAGTTTGAGGCCAGCCTGGTCTACAGAGTGAACTCCAGCACATGCCCCAAAGCTAGGAGAAACCCTGTCTCAAAAGCAAACAAACAAGCAAACAGAAGATAGAGTTTCTTCAGCCAGAACAGACTTAGAAAGCAGGCAGCAGTGAAGGCCTGAGTGAAGGAGAGGAGGGGCTCCTGAGTCAGCTCTTTCCCACACCTTTACAGGAAGGGAAGGTTGGTCACCCAGACAGACCAAGAGCAACTGGGAGGTAGAACTAGCTTGCTTGAGGCCCTGAGTTATATTCCCCCATGAGAGAAAGGGAGGTGAACTAGGTGTGGTCTGTTTTGGGGTTTGTTCAAATCTACTGGGAAAGACCAAAGGCTGAGACTCGATTCAAATTTAGATGAAATGAATTTACTTTTACTGCTAGCAGAAGGACGGCAGCTTTAGAAACAGTGTGCCCTGCGAAAGTAGGGTAAGGGGGGGGACCCCAGAAAGGTGTGCGTTGCAGCTGTCCAGGGGACCCCCCGCTGGCAGGGAACAATGTTTGACCTCGTCAGTTGTTTCTTTCCCGCTATATAATAATAAAAAGATCATTCATCCCTTTCCCATAGCAATAAACAAACTTTATAGAAGCAAGTTGTTAATAACTCATTAAACTATCCTTACCTCACCTGTAGGCCACTGGAATCCCCCAGGCATTCCAGAGCTAAAGGTTAATATTAAGTTGCTTTAGCCAAACAGGGGAACTGTGCAAATTATCAGTCAGGTCTGAGCACGCTGACGGACTGGGATAGAGCAGTTCATTTCTGGCAGGCGATAACACAAGCCCAGGGTAGGGCTGGCTGTCACGTCCCCACAGGGGCACCTGTGATCCCAGCGTCTGGAGACACACGCAGGCAAGCACAGTCAAGGTCATCCTAAGCTGGTTGACGTGACGGGAAAATCTTGTTGTACACTGTGAAGATGTGTAACTCTGATTGGCTTCATAAAAAGCCGACCAGCCAAAAGCTCCGTAGGATTTCCAGACACAGAGGAGCCTGGGGAGAAGGGTAGAGTCACAAGGAGACACAGTGGGGCGTGCAGGAGAGGAGATAACAGGAGCCACACGGCAGCATGTAATTAATAGAGATGGCTAATTAACTTATAAGGGCTAGTTAGAAACAAGCCTAAGCTATCAGCTGAGCTTTCATAATTAATACGTCTCCTGCTGTGAATTGGGAGCTGGCTGATGGGACAGAAAAAAACTAGCTGTATATTATGTCCAGTGTCCGGGTGCACATTTCCACTTAAGAGCTGGGAAAGCAAGTTGGGTGGTGGTAGCACACACCTTTAATCCCAGCACTCGGGAGGCAGAGGCAGGCAGATCTCTGTGAGTTCGAGGCCAGCCTGGTCTACAAGAGCTAGTTCCAGGATAGGCTCCAAAGCTTCAGAGAAACCTGTCTTGGAAAACAAGACAAAACAAAAAAAAGCCCCAAACACAAAAATTAAGACAAACATGGCTTTCTAGTCCCAAAGTCTCTCATCCGGGCTGCAGTACAATGCAGTACAAAGACCTGTCTCCTGCCCACTGACGTGTGCTTGAATCGCCAACTCACCATGAGCTAAACTGTGTGGTGGTTTAAGTTTTGCTCAAGCAGACGGAAAAGGTTACAGATATGCAGTAAAGCTGGTTCAGATAAAAAAAAAAAAAGACAACCAGAAAAACCCTCTAAGTAGGTTAGTGTGTTTAACAGTGTGTGTAGGCTTAAGAAAAAAGAAAAGAAAAAGAGTATAGACAGTACTAAAAAAAATAATTAAAAAATAGTAAAGTCTTTAAAGAGAGAAAGAAGTAAAGTAATAAAAATAAGCCGTGTAAGGATGGGACACATTACAACACAGGAAGTGTGGGCCTTACCTTTGCTTTGTCACATTTGAGCGGTCTGATTGCTTCTGAGAGACACGGGACTGTGGAAGGGGCTGCTGAATTAAACCAGCCTATACACTTTAGAAATGCCTTAATCTAGATGGGTGTTGGTGGCGCACGCCTGCCTTTAATCAAGCACTCGAGAGGCAGAGACAGGCAGATCTCAGTGAGTTCGAGGCCAGTCTGGTCTATCAAATGAGTTCCAGGGCAGCTGGGACTGTTACGCAGAGAAATCCTGTCTAGAAAAAACAAAAACAAACAAAAGAAACAAAAAAGAAAAGACTCCAAAGCTGCAGAGAAAGCCTGTCTCGAAAAACCAAAAATGAAAGAAAGAAAGAAAGAAAGAAAGAAAGAAGGAAAGAAAGAAAGAAAGAAAGAAAGAAAGAAAGAAAAGAAAAGAAAAGAAAAGAAATAGAAATGCCTTAATTTTAAATGAAAGTGAAACTGTATTAGGTTGTGGAGGAGGTTAGGAAACAAAAGGCTGTGGATTCCTTCCAGGTAAATTGAGATCATATTTGACCAGGGGAGGAAGCTAAGAAAGACTGCAAAATAGGAGATGCGTAAACTGATCCCTCTTCATGGGAACAGCGTGAAGACAAGATGAGACATGACAAATCCTGTTGGTTATAGGTCCTCATGACTTATTACATGTTGTCCTTTCATATGGCATGGATAGAGATTATATTACAGTTTGATTATACAGTCCAAATGGACTTATAAAGTTGACAGACTTCTACCTGCTCAAACATAGAATAAAAAATCATTAACTGACTTGAGCACAATGCACACTTCATGCTTGTGTTAACGCAGAGATGTATGTTACCTTTTAAGGTTTGTGTGTTTCCAGAGCAAGAGGACCAGACATTAATGGAAACGGGTTGCCCAGGTGACCAACCTCTCAGAGTGCCTCTGTAGCAGTTTCCTCAGAGTTCTATATATAGACCAGTTTCAAAGCCGTTGGCTGAGATGGCCCAGCCTCACAGACCACTCCAGCCAGACTTCAGATAAGCCCTGAATTTTCTTATCACACTGAGACTAGACAACAGCTAGCTCTCTCAGGACTTGATCATTATCTTAATTTTCTCATGGTCTCCTAAAGATGTCATTGACCCCAGAAAACAGGAAGCAGTCTAGAAAACATGACACCCACATTCCCAAGGGTTGGGTGGACAGTCTTGGTTGTTCAGTATATTATGAATGTTTATTATCATTTAGGGGGATTGATTGAAAGTTGTTATTGATCATAATCAGGGAGGAGACTAAGCAGAGGAGATTAGATTCAAAGATCTTGTTCTGTAAAGAAAAAGGGGGTATAGAAATGATAGGATAAAAAGAATAGATTAGAATCTACTTCTACTTGTCTTAAATATTTTACATTGGTATGGATTTTTGTATATTGATACAAATTTAAGGTTATTTTTTATTAGAACACACTGTACATACATTTCTACTCTTGTTATTGTACCTATGCAGCTCATTTAGCAATGTAATACAATGCCGGGCGGTGGTGGCGCATGCCTTAAATCCCAGCACTCAGGAGGCAGAAGCAGGAGGATCTCCATGAGTTCGAGGTCAGCCTGGTCTACAAGAGCTAGTTCTAGGATAGGTTACAAAGCTTCAGCGAAAACCTGTCTTAAAAACAAAACAAAAACAAAAAAACAAAGCAATGTAATGCACATTTATAGTCCTTGAAAGTTATTATTATAAACTATTTAGAATAATAAAGAAATACAGGTTAGTAGTTAATAACTTTAATAATCAAACTTATATTCATGTTAGGTATGTTTTCAAGGTCAAACAGAGATATTTTTTAGATAGACAGGGGGTCTTCAAATACTTCAGAGATCTACAGAATATGGCATTTAAGATGTTTTAATAACATAAGGCTTTTCACAACAATTAGACACATCTGCTCCTGGCAGCACAAATCTAATTCAGAGAAGATGTTGAGCATCAAAGAACTTTTACGTGGAGTTTGCTATCTTTGTGGCAAAAGTTAGCCACTGGGCAAGAAACTGCCCTTACCTTGACGGCTGACAGTATGCTGTCCAAACTGGATAAGCAGGACACAAAAGAAAGCAACTGCCAAACTTTGCCAAGACAGGGGAGGACAGTTCTTCAAAAATACTGCTTCACAGAAAAGTCTATCAGATACTCTAGGCTCTTAGGCTGAAGACAGATGCCCCAACATTGCAGAGGAACCTTGGGACAATTGTCCAGGCAGCCAAATATCTCTGTTGTTTCATCATTTTGGAAGTTTGCTCTGCACTTCCTGTTTACTCAGATAATATTACATCCTTCTTGGGTCTTTGATGGAGTTGAAAACTAGATAGTAATAGAATTTTCCTTAGTCGTGATAGAAAGTAAATTAGGTACAAAGTTCTGGACTCATCAAGATAAGATAGATAATTTTTCTGACTTTGCCAAATCAAATGCAAATGGACTGGACATTGTAAATATAATTCTTTCCTGATAATTGTTCTTATTGTGTATAGTTTTACTGTGTTAAAGTTAAAACCTTTCTTTTTTATTTAGACAGAAAGGGAGAAATGCTGTGGAATAATTTTTGTACACTGTGAACGTATGTCACTCTGATTGGTTTAATAAAAAGCTAATCTGAGCAGTGGCGGAGCATTCGGGTGTGGTGTGTGTGTGCGTGTGTGTGTGTGTGTGTGTGTGTGTGTGTGACAGAGACAGGCAGATCTCTGTGAGCTTAAGGCCAGCCTGGTCTATAAGAGCTAGTTCCCAGGACAGTTAGGGCTGTTACACAGAGAAACCCTGTCTCAAAAAACCAAAAGCCAAAACCGAAAACAAAAACAAAAAGCAAACAACAACAATAAACAAACAAACTAAACCCTGAATGTCCAGTCACTAGACAGGATCTCCAGGCACAGAGGACACTGGGAAGAAGAGCTGGGTCCTGAGGAGACGCAGAGGAAGCGTGAAGTGTAGGAGATAAGGTAAGGAGATGTGAGTCACGTGGCAGCACATAATTTAATAGAAATGGATAATTTAAGTTATAAGAGCTAGTCAGAAATAAGTCTAAACGCTGGGCAGTGGTGGCGCACGCCTTTAATCCCAGCAGAGGCAGAGGCAGGTGGATCTCTGTGAGTTTGAGGCCAGCCCAGTCTACAGAGTAAGTTTCAGGACAGCCAGGGTTACACAAAGAAATCTTGCCTCAAAAAAACAAAACAAACAAACAAACAAAAAAAAAACAAGAAAAGAAAGGAAGGGAGGAAGGAAAGAAAGAAGAGGGAGGGAGGGAGGGAGGGAGGGAGGAAGAGAGAGAGAGAAGCTGGGAGTTGATCACATATGCCTTTAATCCCTCAATTCAGGAGACAGAGGCAGGCAGATCTCTGTGAGTTCGAGGCCAGCCTGAGCTACATGAGCTAGTTTTAGGACAGGCTACCGTGCTACACAGAGAAACCCTATCTTGAAAAACAACAACAACAAAATGTCATGATGAAGCTTATTGTTACAGGTAATTAGCAAGTTAATAAACAAAACACTTGAGTGCACAAAAACGTTAAAGAATTATTACCGCTGTGTTCAGTGACCTGCAGCCAGGGGAACCTGTCAGGTCTACAAAGAAGTCAGACTTGTTGGAGGCCAAAAGGCCAACTCTTGTACTGTGAGATTTCTGAGGCCGCTAAAAGCGACAGGAGGCGGAAAAGACAGGAGCCTGACACAGCTTGGGCTGTGTTTATTAGCACACTCAGCAAGAGGCAGTCTCTCTCCTGGGGAAATTGGGGGATCTGCAGTGGGTAGGAGGAGCTGACTGCTGCTGCGTTTAGGGATGGGGTGAAGGGCTTGTCAATGATGTTGTTATTTGCCAAGATAGAGTATCCTTTCTGGAACGACCAAAAGGCCGAGCAAGGTTATCCATGATCTTTCAGGAATCCTGTTTTACAGGCGAGGCACTGTATGGGGCAGTTCAGGAAACTAAGGAGCTAAGCCATCAGCTTGAAACGGTCAGTGCTTGAAACCTAACGCGCTTGCGGCAGAGAAAGCCAGGATGGATCGCGCGGGCTGCACGCCATTTCCCAGTGCCGACAGCCTCCTCCTGTGTCACAACCCTGCCTTCTCGCTCCCCTGAGAGTTCACAGTACCCCACCTTAGGTTTGCTCATTTGGTCTCATGTGATCCTCCGCTTCCCCAGACCCCAGTGCACTAGCGCTGCGCCAGCGTCAGGGTAAGGGGCGGGGCTTAGGGACGGGGCTTCAGGGCGGGTCTCTGGCCTCAGCGAAGGAAACACTGAGCAGACCTTTGGACTCAGCTCCGCGGGAATCGCTGTGGCGGTTGACTCAGATGAATCCCCCCT